GGAAGCTCTCAATTTTTAAGCACTTGCAATTAATCAACATTCTTAAAAACTCATTGAAGTCAATGGGTTATATCTAGTCCATAGTTAATTGACCATCTCCAATGCAATAAGGTAATGCTTAGTTTTTGGGTTTGTTTGTTTGTTTTTGTTGTTGTTGTTGTTTTGCTGCTGGTGAGAGGACAAAGCCTTTATCCAAAGTTTGGGGCTCCTGATTGACCCTAGCCAGCCTTCAAATTCAGCCTTCCCCTGCCACAGCAGGTATTAACCATTAACAGTTTAGGGGCTGCTCCTGAAATGATTCTTGTAACTTTACAGTAGAGGGCAAGGTCAACCATCTATAACTGTAAGCTTTATGGAGGCTGAATGAGCCGACTTTGGTGGCCTCCCAGAACACCATAGATTTTTCTTAGAACTGTAAACATCATGTATTGCAACCTTTGTGTTTTTACAACTGCTGATAACGATTTCTTGTGGGGCTCACAGCAATCTGATTAGAAAATGGAAGCTCTGCTGCCCTGTTGTATTTGGGATGTGCACCTCATAACCATGGTCCCAGGGCTCCGAGAACTTTCAATAGAAGAAGCATCTATAATTCCAGGTTTCAGATTTTCTCATATACACCTCTTAAGCTACAATAAAACCTGAGTTCTTTTTACTAGTGATGGTATATTATTTCAAAACTATGTCCCCAAATTCTTTAGTTTCCCCTTTTTGAAGAGCTATAACTTGGCTTTCTATCCTGTAGAGTATACCATTAGGCTATAAATTTTGTGGCTGATTTACATGATCAGAATATGATGGTATTCAGTGTTGGGGATTTTGTTTGTTTGCTTGCTTTATATTTTCTTTCTTTTTTGTACTTTTTCTGGTCTCACATTGTAGGACAGGCTGGCCTGGAACTCACTGTGCAAACTCGGCTGCCTCAAACTGATGGTAACCCTCAGACTCCTGAGTTCTGTGATTGTTGATGTGAGCCACATCCCAGCATGATGGTAAGATTTGAGACTTGATCATAGCTACTTGGACTTGTTCCCAGCTCTTTTTCGTGGGTGGTATGGTGTGGTACGATGTGTGATGTGTGTGTGTGTGTGTGTGTGTGTGTGTGTGTGTGTATGAGAGAGAGAGAGAGAGAGAGAGAGAGGTGTATATGTGTATGTATGTACACGTGTTGCTGTAGATAAAATCCAAGATTTTGCGCATGCAAGGTAAGCTACTCTACCAACTCAATGATATTCCCAAACCTATCTTTATAGATACATTCTTTAGGAAGGCAGAAGTTATGGGAACATCTAGATAGCTCTGCAGAGAGACCTACGGATAGAGGGACTAAGGTGTGTGGTTTGAAAGAAAATGGCCCCCAAAGGGAATGACACTATTAGGAGGTATGGTCTCATTGGAGGAAGTGTGTCACTAAGGGAGTGGGCTTTGAGGTCTCTTTTTCTCAAACTTCCCTCAGTGTGATAGTCAGTTTACTTCCTGTTTCCTCTGAGTCAAGATGTAGCACTCTCTGCTCTAGCACCACATCGGCCTGCATGCCACCATGATCCCCTTCATGATCATAATAGACTGAACCTCAGAAACTGTAAGCGAGCCACCCTCAATTAAATGATTTCTTATAGGAATTGCTGTGGTTATGGCATCTCTTCACCCAATAGTAAACCCTAGGACAGGTGCCCAGCCAAGAGCCAAGGGAGGGAGCATGGTTCAACCTTAGCTAGACCATCAGATAGCTGCAGCCCCATTTGACATCTTGATTGCAAGGAAATACAAATAGCCACCAGCTATACTACTACAGAAATCCTGACATGTAGAACCCAAGGAATACGAATGTATATGGTTTCAATATGAAAAACATGATTGTGATCTCTTTAGTAGCAACAGATAATTAATATGGATGGAAATAAAATAACAGAGAAATGCCACTCCAATGGCTCAGTCTCATCATCTTTTCATAATCTTAGTTTATGGCGCACGCCTTTAATCCCAGCACTCGGGAGGCAGAGGCAGGCGGATCTCTGTGAGTTCGAGACCAGCCTGGTCTACAGAGCTAGTTCCAGGACAGGCTCCAAAGCCACAGAGAAACCCTGTCTCGAAAAACCAAAAAAAAAAAAAAAAAAAAAAAAAAAGGTAATAAAGCAGAGTATATCCCCTCAAAGCTGATACCCTTCCAAAAACAGGGAGCTTTTTGAGTAGGTAATCAAATAAAAGAAGCCCTTCCTTTATATGCAGAGGCATTAGCCTCTGGGTGTGTACAGGTATTGGTATCTCACCTGAGATGTGTATTCATTCAAACTAAACTCAATAACCTCCCAATTTACAAACTACCTCTTGACATGCATCAGACACCAGGATCTCCCCCAAGAACCTTCTGTCCACCCTACTGAGGACACGCTTCAGTGTGGGGTGGTAAGACACACACGCTCTATCTCTTTCTCTCCAGTTTTTTACCCTCTATTGAGTTGAACTCTCAGTATCCACACCAGACCAATTGATTTTGAAGCTGTTGCATAAATCAAGGTGATGCTTCTATCCTTTATAAACAAGGAAAGCAGTAGAAATTTCTCAACAGACAAGATGTCAAATGGGGTTAGAATCATCTAATGTTCTGGCTGGGGTTGGAGAACCATGCCCACTCCCTTGGCGGTTGCCTGGGCACCTCGGTCCCTCTATTCATAGGTCTCAGAGCTATCTAGTTGCCCCCATAACATCTGCCTTCCTAAAGAACATATCAAGAGAGGTTTGGGAGTATCAATGAGTGGGTAGAGTAGCTTACTTTGCATGTGCAAAACCTTGTATTCTATCTACAGCAACACATGTATACACACACACACACACACACACACACACACACACCACAGAAAAAGAGTTAGGAATAAGCCCAAGTACTTATGCGGCATGAATCCCCAATTTTGTTTTCAGCGTCACTTGAGACCTCTAAATGGCTCTGATGATGGCATCTCATCAGCCACAGGGTTCCAAGTGATTACATGCCTACACATTAGTGGCTTAAACATTCATCCCAGAATTGTATCCTCTTACAAATGTAAGCCTTTTGTCTGCGTGAAGGTGAAAACCCTTTGGCGTGGGTCTTAATGGCAAGGAGAGGGTGAGAAAGTGCATTCTGAGTATGTGGGAAAGCCCTAGAGAGTAAACGTCTAGAAGTAAAAGGATTTGGATTTAATTCTCCCTTTCTACTTTGTGACCAAGGCAATGATGTTAATACCATCTTAATAAGCCCCCTATCTTTCCCCTACTCTCAAAAAACCCTCAAAGAGAAAATCCTTGAAAGGTAAATCTCTCTTCTGGCCCTTGGCCTGATTCGAGGGGTCCTAGAAACACAATATTACTTTGAATCTGCGTAGGCATTAATTAAGAAGTCAGACTCTGCAATGACGACACCAGATCATAGTTATCTTACAGCTTGCATATTTATTGAACAAATACTACTAAAATAACTAAAATACATTGGGTACTTATGAGAGCAACAGTAAGGAGCACATGTTCCAAAAGCCAGCATTTTCAGCAGTGCACACCTGCAACTCTACAGAAATGCCACAAATGCACAACACTGTTTTCTTGCTCTATTTACATAGCCGATATGTCTATCCTAACGAAGGTGGGGGTGGAGAGGGAAGAATGCACGAGAAACTCAGGCCAGTGGGGGAGCAAGAAGAGGAGGAAGAGGTACAGTGCATGCGTCACTGGTGTTTAACAGTCAGAAGCGCAAACAGTTCAGAACAAGGCCTGCCCTGTCAAAGGAAGAGCTAAAGACATTATATAAAAATTAAGGTGGGCTTTCAGTCTGGCTTAACACAACAACATTCCGTGAAGAGATGGTGTTATCGGATTTTATTTTTGTTTATCCATTTCATTGGGAGCAAGGACAAAAGTGTAAAATCTACACCTTGCTTATCAAATCGGCCCCAAAAAAGGTGTTTTGCCTTTTGTCATCATCATTGTCGTCATAATCATCATCATGATAATAATCATTATTTTGTAAAGACATTTTTCCAACCTCAACTTTTGGAAAGGTATAATTTTCAAATTCCTACTTGGATGTCAGTACTTTGGATTTTTTTTCCCCACGTGGCACCTATTTAAAGAGAGTGAATCTTCCCCCCACCCCCCCAAATATCCAGTCAAACAAAAAGAATCTAAAGAGATACCTCCAAATGCCTGTGGAATTATTGCTTTTCTTTTTCTAGCCAGGCAGGTGAGGCTGCAGAACGGAAGAGTTCTGGTAGGTACATTACAGTTTTGTGATTGCTCCCGCTACCATGACGGCATCTCCACCAGGGCCAGCCACGAGAGGACAGCCCCTCACACTCTCGGTAGCATCCGCTCAACCTACTACACTGAAGAAGAAAGCCACACTGAAGACACCAGGAAAACAAGACAATCCAGTCTGGAGAACAACATTCGGGGAAACAGAGTACCAACAACACCTTCTCAGAACATGGAAATAAAAAATAACTCCATCAGAGCTACCTCGCCAAGGAGCATGTTGAAAGTCCAAAATAGCACCATTCATCAGTGTCTCAGGTCCTGTGGCAGCATCTCGGTCACTTACCACAAGGAAACGATGAGTTTCAAACTACTTCTATACATCAAAAGAGTACATGGATAAAATATAGAGATATACAGACGATCGATGAACATAAACTACTAGGCTTGTTACATCTAAGTGAGAAAAAAAAGTGGGGGGACTCTCAGCCTCTGCAAGAAGCAGTCGGGAGCCGTGTGATGAAGAGGTGGGTGTGGACCAGTCATGTGAGCGCAGTGGGAGTTTGAGTTGTGGAAGACATTGTTGTAGCGAACCAGGCCTGAAGGCCCACCTGTAGGGGTTGTAAACGTGGATTCACAGTGTGAAATTCTGAGCGTTTTCACTTGAGTCAGAATGATTAGAAACTGTTTTGATGATACCTATTTGTCCACTGTAAATTCTCTAAAGCAAGGCTTAGAGTCCCATAGTTTCTTCTTATATTTGATGATTTACACAGAAAAAAAAAATCCCATATATGATACCAAGACCTCATCAAAACCCCATATACCATATGCAATACAAATGGAGGTGTTACGATTAAAAAGAGTAGAGGTAACTGATATTTGGGGAGCAGAGTTCATGGCTGCCTGGTGGAGCCAGGAAGGCAGCGCTGATCTCCTCCGCCTTCTTGCGGTTCACTTCCTTTGGCACGAGAAGTCTCCCCTGCAGGAAACACACAAACAGAGAGACAGACACACACACACACAAAGAAAGACACTTTTAAACCATTTGAAAAAAGTTTTTGTTTTGTTTTTTACTTCTACCCACTTTTTATTCTTGAACTTCTGCTATTTTGCAGTTTATATATTAACAGTATTCTCTTAAAGGTAAATATTAGGTCAGCGGGTGATGAAGCCATTAAAGACAGCTTTCCTTTGCTTGTGTGGGGGCAAGTGTTTCTCTCGAGGTGGTGGCAACACTCCTTAGAGTCAGTACCCAGGATCAAGCTGGGTTAGGAGAGCACACAGGAGTGCCAATACATATTTTAAAGATTTATTTTATGTGTACAAGCATTTGTCTGTCTGTCTGTATGTGTGCAGCATGTATGTCCAGTGTCCATGGAGGCCAGAAGAGGGCATTAGATCCCTGGAACTGTGGTACAGATGGTTGTGAACCGTGATGTGGATGTGAGGAACTGAACCCAGGTCCTCTGCCCGAATAGAAAGTATCCTTAACCACTGAGCCATCTCTCTAGACCCATACTTTTATTTTTCAGTGAGTGACGTGATGGAGGGAAGACAGTAATCTACTTCCCATTTTACACAATAAAATACTTAAAAATATATCACAATGCATCTTTCTATGTGAACTTTCTATAAGCAACCGGCACACTTCATATAAGCGCTAATGTCGGGACTAAACCGGCACCCAAGATGAAAGTGTTTGAGATGTGCACAATGAAAAGGAATCTCAGCTGGCAGCCGTAGGAAGGAAGAGGAGAGTGAGAAACCACATCCAGAGGATGGTGAGATTCAGGCAGCCTAGGACTCGAGTCTCTTCTTACAGAGTCAAGGACTAAGATGATGGGCCCAACTGATGACCACCACTGTGCTGCTTCTGGACACACAGGAGGGGGAGGAGGAGGAGGAGGAAGAGGGGGAGGAGGAGGAGGAGGAGGAGGAGGAGGAGGAGGAGGAGGAAGAGGAGGAGGAGGAGAGGCTCCATCAGAATCTAGCAGCAAGAGAGCCAGAGAGTGGGGTCCACTGAACAACTGAACAAAAGCCTTAATTCATTAAAATAAGAAAGACTGTATGCCCCATCCAGACATACTCACAATGAAGACAAAGATCTTTCTTAATGAAACCATAACTTGTTTATATTTTCTGGGGGGGGGTGGGGTGGGAATAGCCTTTGTGGGTTTTGAGTATTTCTTTTCTTCTCTTTTTCTTTTTAAATCTCTTTTTGCTTGGGTTTTAGGTTCTAACAAGAAAGTTCCAATCGATGAAGTTGCCTGGATAGAAGTACTAGGATTGAAGCGATAGTCTCATTTTGTGACTTGTAAATTACACATTTGAATTTATATTAAGGATGAATTTGGGAGCCAGGAGTTTCTAGACCACCTGAAGCTAAGTATTATTTCCAGCAGCCTCAGGGTAGGTCATTCAAGCTGAAGAAGCAACACCTACTACATGCAACACCCAATGTGCCTAGAACTTTGAAAGCATTTCCACACAAAAGCCCTATATGGAACCCACACAGTGTGTCCCTGAACAGTCTGGTCTAGGCTGTGATTTCAGAGGGTGTTCTGATATCAGTAAGTAGCCAGAGAATTATAATTCTTGTAATTTCAGAGGGTGTTCTGATATCAGTGAATAGCCAGAGAAGTATCATTCTTCACACAGCATTAAGGTTCTAAACAAAATTTCTCAAAGCATGTTAAATCGGGGCACTCATTAATAGTGCATAAAAAGAGTTAAAATGGCAATTGTGGAAAAAAAAATCTCAATCTTGAAATTTGGTATATAATCCACAAATCACAGAACAAAAGCAAAACCCATCGATACTTTCCAAGCAATGCCACCACCCCATCTGACCGTTAGTGTGGCCTTGAAACTGTTCTAAAGTCAGCACACCACTGTGTCTTGGTTTATGAGGCCCTGTCCCACTAACCTTTGACCTCCATAAAAAATACACTACCAAATGAAAACTGGGAAGAGTTCTCTCCAGAACAGAGACAAAAAACTGGATTATTTCAGATGTGAACATAACACTTGTACTACTTCGTCTCCCCCATGCACATCATCACTCATTGCTGTGCTGAATGCTTGCGCATTACTGGATTTTGAGCCTACAGAGAAACAGCAACAAACTGTCCCTACCCAGCCTGCCCTTAATTAACTTGTTCTGTGGGAGACATCCAAGTAACCGGATGGCAGAAGGACCATCAGTAAGTCGTGCAGAGGCATGCTACTACAAGACCTCAAGGGCCAAATGAACCAAAACGCCTTTAAAGGGAGCAACTCCCAGAGCCAGGCTCTTTGCACCTCCTCTTTGGAGCCCAGAATTACTAGATCACAATCCTCTTCCCTGACTCCTACCATTCTGCTCTACAGAACTGTCTGTCTCCCGTATACCTTGTTTTCCCAGCAGTCAGGCTTTCTGACAGTTGAGGTGAAACAGTCACCTCTCTCCACCATCCGCACACAAAGACTCTAGTGAGACAGAGGAACTTGGGTTATCTAGAAGTCTGAGGGTGGAGGGCAAGCAGAGGTGCTCCCTGTCCACAACAGGCCTGCTCCGCCAGAAGCCACATCCTCACGGATGGAGTTTTTTCTGGTGACTGCTAGCTCGGTCCCAGCTACTAAGTAAGGTGCTTTGGACCAAGTAAATTGAAATCATCTTTCATGCAGCTATGCAAAAGTGTGATTTTCCCGAAGCTTCCTTCTGGAAAAAGGGCAAGTATTTTATGCTTAAAATACCACTCCATTGTCGAGAAGAAACAACCAAAGGGCTGAAGTGTGGTGGCCAGTATCCTCCACACCCACCCTAGAGCATGCTTTGGTGTAGGCACGGAGTGAAGGGACACCCCACGGACCTCCCAGCTCATAGAGGAGCCTCGCCTAGTCTTTCCCACTTGGTTGATATTCCATTATCCAAGGGTACTGTGGGGAGGGCTGACTGAGACAAAAATTGACTACATGGCTTTCTTTTCCACCCTCAGCTGCTAATTTAGGGGAATTATGCCCTGGTCTGGCCCAGAAAAGAATGTCTAAGGACAAAAGCACACATGTATGTGTACAAATAATTTTAAGGGGTGGGGCATGGAGCCCAGGGGCAAAATGTGTACTTAGGATGGGCTCTACCTCTCGGGCCATCAAAGCAACAACAACAATAAGGAGAATAAATAATAATAAGGAGGAGAAAGAGGAGGCGGTGATGGTAGTGGTGAGGATGGAGTTGGCACTGCAGGTGTGTGGCCCAGGCTGGAGCTGTGGGGTGCAGCTGGACTCTGCACTTCAGGTCCTTTCCACTCCAGCTCTGTAAGGCTATCACACTTTCAGCTCCACCAGGTCCCATAAAATGTTCTCCATCTGCCTTTCTGCCGAAAGTTTCAACTTAAACTTCGGAAATTCTCTGAATGTCTAAAAAAACGACAGGATTGTATTCTTTCCACACCACCTGCTGATAACAGGACTGCAGTTTCTGAAGATCCTGTTAACCAGGAGAACAGCTCAAACCAGTCAGTTAAATAAGGTCTTCTCATATAGGAAAAGGGCAGTGATATCACATGTGGGGTGGTACCATGGTTCAATGACATGGAATGTTGACCTTTTGCGGGAAAAAATATGACTTTTATGTGTAGAGGTCTTTTCCCTGCATGCGTGTCTGTGTGCTATGAACAAATTGTGACCAGGAGGTCAGAAGTGGCTGTTGACTTAAAGACAGTTGTGAGCCACCATGTAGATGCTGGGACTCAAGCCCTGACCCTCTGGAGAGCAGCAGAACTCTTAACCACCGAGTCACCTCCAGTCCCCTGAAACTGCTGAGCAGAAATTTTACTGGAGTCTTTCTTCCTTGTGAAACTAGCAGATCGGTGCTAAGAAGCACAATCTTCCACTCAAAGTCAGATTGCTACTCCCTGTAGTTCTCAGTACCTACAGGGAGAACTGGAGACTGAACTCACTGTAGTTCAGAGGATCTACAGGGAGAACTGGAGACTGAACTCTCTGTAGTTCACAGTATCTACAGGGAAAACTCGTGACTGAACTTTGAAATTGTAAAAGACACATTTGAAACAGGGAGATTCTTAAGTGAAAATTTGCATCTGAGTTATGGATCACAAAAGGCTACGAGGCTGGTTTGCTTGTTTTCTGTTTTTGTTGTTGACTTGTCTGTTTTGAGACAGGGTCTCATGATGTAGCCCAGGTTAGGCCCAAATCTCCGGCAGTCCTCCTGCCTCAGCCTTTAAGTGCTGGGATTATTAGGTAAGCACCACTGATCCCAGCTCTAGGTTATGTTTTAAAAAATATGTTATTTCTAAGACCAGCATAGTGTCGTATTAGTGGATTATTATGGGAGTATACAATGGATATTAAGACAAAAATAAAATAGGTCTGGATTATTTCCTTATGTGTGTTTACACTTCAAACTTGAAAGCAATGTTTACAAACAGCAGCTGGGGCTCTTACCTTAGTAAGACTTCCCTCCATTTCCTTGTATGGAAATGGCTCTTGGCTGACCCAGACCAAGAGTTCCGGGTAGTAAACCTATGGAGACATAAAAGCGCACACATTCAAATCACAAACAAGGTCCATCCTGAAACCACATGGCTTCACCTCCCACAAGCTCAGTTCTTAATGGTCATTCTAGAGTCTACATTCTCCTCTTTCCCCATCTGCTCAGAGCACCAGGAAACTCATTACACATTTTCTGAATACACACTGTACCCAGGAGAGCTTTGGCTAGTCTTTCAAGATGGAGTCCGACAGAGCAGTGATATCAATCAATGTGAGCGTTAGCAGGCAAAGTGGCAGCCTAATGCATGTCTGGCCGGGTGCGCTAAGCGCCCGTGGAGAGCTTTCAAAGTATCTTATGTTCCGTGAGTATCCTTGCAAGTCTCCTTGCTCAGGTAGTGATCGACACTCTGAGGAATTATCCTTCACTTATCAGAAGGTTGAAGAATAGATGCAAAGCTGAGGAGGAGGGCCCAAATGTCTTACGATCTCCCCAGCCCATGAGACCACTCAGACCACACTGCATCCAGCTCCCTGAAGCAGCCTGGTACTAAGAGAGGGGCAGGGAGCTGGACAGCTGTGCAATGAATGATTCAGATAACAAGAGCTGATGAATTCTGAGGGTGGGCGGACGTAAAGGGAGGGAGGCAAGCTGAGCAAGTCTCCTTTAAATATACAAAGGGCTATTCGCATAAGGTTGCTGACCAGCTGTTCTCTATTTCCAGAAAGCAAGATGGAGGGAGTGTGTGTGGGGGCGCGGGGAGGCTTAAACTACAAATTGCAGATTTAGGTCAGCTATAAAAAAGAACTTGGCACGAGAGTTGTTAAATTACTAAAAGTATTTAGAGTGGAAAACTGTGAAATCTTCTTTAAAAAAAACTTAGAGACAGAATCCAATAGCCATCTGTTAGAACTAAGTCACATTTGACACCACGCTGCCTGACGTGGGGGATGAAACTAGAGGCGACTCCTTCCAGGCCTCAGTTTTGTAAGTAACCCTTCCGTACAGTAACAATTAAGACACAGATCTCATTAACAGATTAGCAAAGAGACTCACGTGTCATTTTCAGTTTTGGAAGCACTACTTGTTGAGTTAAGGGTTCCTATTTTGTATGTCTCAACCAGTCTAGTTGGTTGGGAGTGTGAAGCAGGGAGCATAAAAGGATAACGCACTCCTCCTCTTGGGTAACATAATAGTAACTGTCTTTGCTGTTCTATCAGTAATGGTTAGGGCACACTGTAGATCAGAGTAAGTGCACACACTATATACACTCTTTACAGCAGTGGGCCTATGAATAGTAATATTTTAATTATAAAGATGGGAAAAGGAAAACTCATAAAGGGCAAGCCAGCTTGGCCAAAGTATCACACAGTGAGTGGGTCAGTACTGCAACTCGAATTGGGTTCCTAGATCTCAGCTCCCTTCTTCCCAGTATGATGCTGGTCTCACATTTCCCCAAAGCAAAATGTCTCTTCTCTAATGCCCCCCTTTTAAAACAGGACCAGTCCATAGCCACCACCCACTTTTGGCTCTTAAGGGGCTGGTGCCCACCCTGGAAGAAGCAGAACCATTTCCTCTCCTCGGAGTGCAGCTGCTTTCTGAGCCCTGTGATTCCCTCAAGTCTACCCCACCTTCTCTTCACACATTTCCCCCTCCCTGCCCAGCTCCTTCTTACAGAATGACACCATCTGCCTTGTTTGGGACAGGCAGCCAGTCTTGGCATTCTCTTGAGCCAGAAAAGGGGGAATTAAATTACAATCAATTAAATTTAATAAGCTTTTGTTTCGTTTTGTTTCAAGGCATATAACAAAATCATAGCACATAAAATCCCAGTTTAGCCTAACATTTCAGTTTGACCCCAACTCAAAATCAGGAGTAAGTTCACGTAATATAACTTGGCCTCAGTGGCTGATCCCTTTTCAACATTTTCACTACAATTACACACACACACACACACACACACACACACACACACACGTGAGAAATGGTTTGCTCAGGAACCAAAGGCCGAGTCAAGAAGTGACATTTATGACTGTGTTTCTCTAGGGATATTCCATTTTAATAAAGTCACACCGCCTTAGCATATTGAAGCTACTAGAGCATGTGTCAACTAAGAGCAAGCAAAATCAACATTTAGTGTAACATTCGGAACTTCTGGCAGGACACAGGCTGCTTGGCGTGAGAAGTTCTAGGAAGGAACTTTGCTATTAGATGCAGATGCAGGAATAGACTGATGGGTAAGTTCAAGGGGATGTGCTCCAAGCAGGAAGACGCTCCTGTGCCTGCTGTAGCTCTCAGGACCCAAGTGTCACAGGCTGTCAGACCCTGTCTGGCTTTCCAACCTGTTCAGAATATTAATATCTGGCAATGACTCCCAATAAAGAAGGCCTGCAAATGTTGCTGGGAATCCGCTAGGGACCCATCTGGAGACCCTGTGTGAAGACTGAAGCCTCTCTTTCTCCTCGGTACCCAATGGTTCATGCTGCACAACTACACACGGCTCTACCTGCACTCACCTTTCTGGATTCATGTTCCTGTTTTTCATGAAAACTAAAGTAACATTCTTCTTCACACTTTGTTGAGTTCTTACTTTTGGGGACGGGACCTTGCAGCTCAAAAATGCCAGTATTCTGGGTAATATACATGAAAGTACCCTACAACTGTTTTATTAAACAAGTTAAACAAATTATGCCTTGATCATCACAAAAGAAGCATGCAGTCTTTCAAAGCTGTCTTCCATGTAGAAAAATAAACAGAACTTTCTATCAAATCCTTCCGAAATATTATTCTTAGAATTCAAATAGGGACCCAGAGAGACAAGCTATTTTCGACAACTACAAAGATATGAGTGTTCTAAAATATAGAGAAGAATTGAGCAGTTTTTATTTGATGTTGCCTGAAATTGTGTTCATGATTGTCTCTGAGAATACTAATTAATGTACCTTTTCCCATAACAATATATTGGCATGACTATGTGAAGGTGTAAATCCATGATATACATTTAAATGTGGCTTATGATGAAATTTATGATTTCTTATCCCTAAAGTACCGGACTGCTCGGCCTTCAGTTTAACTATCCCAGCACAGCAAACATACTGAGAATAAAATGTCCATGTTTTTCCTCTTTCTTTCTTTTCTTTCTTTCTTTCTTTCTTTCATCCTTCCTTCCTTCCTTTCTTCCTACCTTCTCCCCTCTTTGCTTCTCTCTTCAAAGATTTACTTTACTCTGTCAAGTACACAATAAAAAAAAAACCTTCATTTTTTAAGCCTATAGGTAATAAGCTTGAAAACCATTTGCTATCTGGTGGTATTATAACTAACAACTAGTATTCTACATGAGAAATATAAAGTGTATGTGTGTACGTGTGTTGGAGGATAATCAAAAACCAGTCTCATGTTTAAAAGAAAAATAAAAAAAGCAACATAGAACATTGCCTAAATTCTTTCAAGCTTTTCATTGGAAAGTTTGCTCTTTTTGTGCTTTATTTTTATTTTTTTTCCAGTAGTCTTGTGGTCCATATTTAGGGGGCTGGAGAAGTCCTTTGTCTTATTTCCTATCATTCCCAGTACTCCATTGCAGAATTTGATTTCTATGTATTACCAGCTGGTAATTTAGAGGCTTCTAAATTGTCCCCTATTTGTTTGCTGCTTTTTCCCAACATTTCTCTGAGAAGACTGTCCTAAGATAATGGCCAACAAAGGCGCCATTATATCTTTACTCTGAGCAAATACTTACCGCATAGCTAATCGCCACTTCCTTAGCTGTTCAACAAACCTTCCCAGAAATCGGAAGTAAAGACTACTGCATGGCTTGGCTGTTAATGACCACAACTGTAATGCAATTCTTTACCCTTGGAGGGGTCCATTGTGTTTCAAGGATGTACACAAATGGCCTGTTTAGGACTTAAAAAGATAGATGCCCACCCCTTGCCATTAAGAAAACAGAGTAGGGTAGCGGGTGCCCAACCTCCACAGTTAATTCTTTTCATAGCAAAGGGGTACATTTCATAATTTAGCTGCCAATTAAGCAGTGTATGCCTGCATATGTACACGTTCTGCTAGGCCTAATTGGCCAGGAGGTTGTGAAACCTAGTCCTATAATTTGAAGGGAATTTATGTGCATATTCATATAGCTCATTTCGGTAAATATCCTCTGAAGGAGCACAATTATGATTCTTCCTCAAAAGCCACTGAGTCCCAAGTGCTGCTGGTCGCATGAGTGAAGACTGTAAACTGAAACCATCAATGAGGAACAAAGATCATTTTTCTCTAAGGAGCATTGCACCAAAGACCAGATGGTGCCAAAAGACGGTGCACTGTGCTCGCTCTCTGGAGCTCTGGCCTTAGAGCCCTGCAAAAGCTAGACAGAACTTCTCCCAGGGAAAGCACATGGGGAGAGAGCCATCGCCACTGGAAGAGGGAAAAGAAAGCATGAAAACCACTGGGCCACCCAAATGATGTATAGAATCCTTGCAAATTTCAGCAAGCAGAATAAAGGTGTTAGTGCCTAAGTTGGCAAACATTTGTTGAGAAATAAATGACACACACACACACACACACACACACACACACACTGGCAGTCAGAACAATGAGTAATTAGAGAGAAAACATTGTGAGTTTTCCTGCCAAGAAGGAATGGCTGGCTCAGGTAGTCCTGCTGACATTCAAGCCAGTCCCCACGGTCCGACAAGTCCCTAACATGGAGAAAGTGGGGTGGTGGAATATACCTGGACCTCACAAGGAAGACAAGGGCAGCTCCCAACTTGGTCAGACCCACTGGTATCAGCTTGACCCTAGCTGCATGTTCCTCTGATGGGCCAAGAAAATTTTCACGTCTGATTCATAGTCTGAGCAGATTATATGACCATTTCGCATCATGTGCTGCACTATCATCCAAAGACTGCCTTAAAACAGTTGTGTGGACTTTAATAGTAGAATCCTCTGAACTCTTTCTGCTCGCTGGAAAGCCACCGTGAGAGGCGCTGATGAATACGTGGGAACCTGACAGCTGTGGAATTTTATTTCTAGACTT